CAAAGGAGAACCGCCCCCTCCTGGTCGTATTTGATCCAGTTCAGAGCACCCCTCTCTTTGGATAACTGAGTCGAGGAAGTGCACCCAGATGTTCCAGGATTTCTTCTGGTTAGGTGATGGCTGCACCCAGACCTTTTGTGGGTCCGCCGGAGAAGACCCTGTGGAGTCTGGCAACCTGTGAGTGTATCCAGTTCCTCACAGAGGGTTCTCCATGCGGATTTCCTCGATTTCTTGATGAAGTTTTTACACGCCCTGCACTTTCCTGCACAAAGTCCAGTCCTCATCGCTGTGAGTGCGGAATGCTCGGTTTCAGAGTCTCCTGGTCAGGCCTCTCAATCTTCTAAGTTTTTGATTCCACCATTTTACCCTCCTCCTCTCCTTGCACGGTTTGAACGGACATGCTATCTGGAGAAACTCGGTTAGAGCCCTGTGGTTTCTTTCCATTTCGTCCTCTAACCTGTCCGTGTTGCTGGCCCTCACGCATCCTTCATCTAGCCTTTTCTCCAGTTCCCTTCTGAAAGAGCTTCAGTTGGTGGCCTTGGGATTCCTCCGCATGAGTCCCTACTCCGTCATGGCAATGCCTTTGATTTTAAACTGAATGCGTCGGTGATCCAAGAGTGAATCTACTCTCCAGTTCACGCACCGATGCGCCAGTCTGCTATCGAACAGTGTCCTGTCAATGACGCACTGGCGCCTGGTGTGACAAACGTGGGGCAGGATCCTCTATTCAGGATCCCAAGATCCGCTTCTCTCAGGTATTCCAGCAGGGCTGCTCCTCTGTTGTTGTTTTTGCTGCTCCGCCATGCCACGTGCTGCGCATTTGCATCGCAGCCTATGATAAGCGGCAGCTCTTCAGACCTGCAGTACCTGACAAGTTCATGCAGCTCCCTGGTGGGTGGTGATTCCACAGAGTCATGCGGGAGATATACCGAACAGAAAACGATGTCCTCGATCGGTTTCCCACTATGTAGTCGAGTCATAACCACCACCAGATCCCTGGTAAAGGAGTTCCCCATCTCCCTGGGTCTACACGCATTTCTGACAGCAACGTAAGTCCGGGCTATCCCGAGAAAAGAATAGCTCGTCCTCAACCAGATCAAAGGTTCTTACGGAGCTCTCGTAACGCCAGGGCTCCTGTATTAGCCATATATCTGCCTGCTCCACTACAATGCTGCGATTCAGTAGGGCAGTGCTGCAAGTTAATTTTGGAACATCGGACCTGCGGTGGGGGTATTGACGTTCCTCCGCAGGTTGTCCTCCTCTCCGACGCGTTTGCGTCCACGAGCCATCGGAGCGCCGTTACGAAATCTCAAGACTGATCATTCTCAGTCCCAAACATCGCCTCCACCAGCGCGGCGCTGATGAGTTCCGCCTGTTCCTCCGTCAGGGATGGCTCTGAGTAGGTGGGCGGCACGATGGCCACCCTTTTCCCACCCTTTAACGCCTTTCTGATCATTTCCTTTTTTTAGGCATGGCGACCTCCGCAGGTGTGGTCCCCGACGACCTGGGTTTTCGTGGGTCTGGTTCCCTCCTCCGTCCCCCCGGGGGTGCCAGCTTTTTCCTGCGGGGAGTGCTGGTCCCGCCAAGGTTTCAAGCCTTGCCTTGCGGGCCTTGTGCTTCTCCGCGGCAGTGCGTCTCTTACCTTGCGTGGTCCGGTCTCGGGTGGTCCGGAGCTGATCAGCATCAGCTGATCCCCCTTTGATCGTTCCACCTCAACCAATGATGCCTTCTAGGCCCCAGTTGGTCTGCAATGGTGTCTTAAAGCAGAAGTGGGCAACCTCTGCTCTCGGAGCTACTCCAGCTCCCGACCTTCATTAGGCGAAATTGCCCAAGCGATAAAGTTTATGGCTTGCACCCCCTTCGGGCTTCGTGGGGATATTCGGCAGAAACTTGGTCGTGGGAAAAGTGAAATAGAAATATTTTCTATTTCTCTAATGGAAATATTT